GCTTCGAATTTGCACCACCTGGTATCGGTTTTGAAGATAAGATTTAAGAAAATCGAGAAGGGGTGGCCTAATTCCATGACTTTTTAGCTTTATCAGTAGTCTTTTATGGGGGACTTTGTCAAGGGCCTTTCTTAGATCGAAGGCGGAGTCATCTGGTGCTCTATACTCCCGTTGTGGAGCTTACCTTTTCTATCTTGCCATGAGCTTGTTTCCTCACTTCCAACTGAGGGTCCTATTGAACACGCGGAAGGGCTGAATGAAGTTGATGGTTCGCTTGGGTTGTCTTCCATAGAAACAAGAGACTCCGTTGCTATTTTCCCATCGTCCAGGGTATCGGCGCCCTTGCACAGAGGTTTTCCACAAGCTTTGTTCTTGGACTGTTTTAGCGTTTTGCTCTTTCTCTTTTTCTTGCTAACTTTAGCGCTATTCATCGCGTTTTGCACACTATCGTTCGCTTGCACGAGTACCCTTAAAGCAGTCAGCTCTTTTTCGAGTTTCTGGACTTTCGGCAGAATAAAGGAGCATCCAGTGCACGGCTCACCCTCGTAACTAACAGGTTTTGGTGTGATAACGCTTTTAGCGCGCTTTGCGGCCCCCTGGTTGCAACTATAAAGAGAGCGAGCGCTAATCCTAGGTGGCAAGGCCTTCTCAATAGACTTTCCTTCATACATAGTGTCGTTTGTACTACGAACAATGTTTACTCCTTTACTGTTTAATGTTTACTCCTTTATCTGTTCTCGAGGTTCCTCAAAGAAACGGAAGAGGACGTACTTTCCAGAGGAATGACTTACATTTATTCTGAATTGAATTACTGGGAATTGGTTGCAGGCTTCGAAGTCCTCCATATCAGCAATAGACTTTACGGAAGACGAACGATTTGCAGTCCGAAACAGTACTGTACAGACCTTAAAAGATCGGAATCACATTTCAACACTCTCACAAGAAGAAAGGAAGCCATTTAAAAAGCCAAAAACTGATGAAAACTTTGTCCTTTTTGTCTCAGACAATGGAGGCTTAATTGTGATTTTGAGCAAATCAGACTACAATGGGATGCTGTCACTTTTAGAAGGTACTTCAAAGCTCAAGTCTTAATCCGCGGACCCTACGAAACGACAGGCTTCATTTATTGATAAAGTGCCGAGGAGCCTTACAGGAACAAAAAGATTGCCAGGAGATATTGCGAAATCCCCGAGACAATCTTAACCAAATATTGCCAAGGTCTACGGAATGCCCAAAGTCCACAAAACTGAATTACCACTGCCACCGATAGAATTATTAATCAGAGCACCAAATTGCAAAATTCCCAAGTTGTTATTCTACCAAATCCACCCACATACGAGAGATTCTGATACTTCCATTCGGAACTCTATAGAGTTTTTAGAAAATTTGGAAATAGTCACAGATTCCGCGGATAAGATACTGGTCTCCTATGCTGTCGTTTCTTTATTCCTGTCCATACCAATGCAGTGCGCAGATGAACTCCTAAAGTCCTATAACACAACTGATTCTGCAGCTACCTTACTTAATTTCGTAAACCCTTGCTAAGAAAACATTTTCGTTCAAGCACCAATATTGTCATCAACTCAAACAAGCTCTAAGGGGATAACGCATATCTGGCTTTCTTGCCGGGGCGATAATGCAGAAACTGGAGTCAGCATCTCCTCCATTAGTTAACCCTAAGTTGGGGGTACGATATGTAGACGGTGTATTTGTTGTCGTATAAAAGGATCAACTGGAAATGCTCCACAACATCATCAATTCTACCATTCCCGGAATTAAATTCACGCTCGAAAAAGAAGTTGACAATAAACTCCCATTTCCGGATGTTCTTGTACAGCCAAAAGCTAACAGAACATTATGCACTTCCGTCTACCGCATATAAACGTCCGCGGAAGTAATTCTATTGTATGTATGTATGTACATATATGTGTATTTGAAGGGTTAAATACAGAGCCCTTGATGACCCTATTTATGTAAAATGCTTCCGCAGATTCGCAGATTTTACATTATGAGAACAACAGCCCAATCTCCCACAAGAGAATGAATGTCAAAAGTCTGCTATATCGAGCAAAAACACACTGCTCTGACAAAAAAGTTACCAAGTCGAGCTAAACTACGCGTATGATTTTTTTCCTAGGACGGTTGCCCTAGAGATTTCGTTTGTCGATGCAAGAGACAGCAAAAGTTAAAAACAAAGGAACTATCAAGCGCACAAAGTAAGTACTTGGCGAATGCTTTATTACATCAGGAATGTGTCTGAACTTGTTGAAAGATCCTTGAAGAAACGCCAGATAAAACTGCCACACAAGCCGACGACTACTTTACCCACTCAGCTTGTACGCCCTTAGAATAGAATTGGTTATCTCGACAAGAGAGAGATCGTCTAAAAGATCCCACGCGATGCCTGTGATGCCATATATTGTGGCCAAATGGGAAAATCTGCCTCCACACGCATTTACGAGCACCAACTGGAAGTTAAGAGGCGAGCTTACCTATCTCACGTGACCATGCATATTCATGATAGTGAGCACACCTTCGCGTGGGACGAAACTCGCATCGTCGGAGTATGCCCATCTAAAAAAGGCCGAGAGTTTCTTGATACCATGCACTCCGATGAATCATGCGTCAGTCAACACATTGAATTAGATTTCATGTACAGAAATCGCAGGGGAAATTTAAGGAGACGAGAGCCAGTCGGTACAGGCTGACGCACACGACGGCCGCTTACTTGTACAAAGGCCAAATAAATATAAAGTGTTCAGCGCGTATG